GGATGGATGGATGGATGGATGGATGGATGGATGGATGGATGGATGGATGGATGGATGGATGGCTCTCATTTCCAATGAGTGGATGGTCTCCTGGCATACAGCAAACCCCTCTACAATCCTCCCTGTTTTTCCCACAGTGCTGCAGGGGGACCTGTGGGGGGTATTGTGGGGAGGCAGAATGGCAGCTCCTGTTGGCAGCTGCTTGGGGCTGAACAAAACCTCCAGAAAGTGGGGCATTGGTGGAGAGGCTCTGAGGGTTCTACCAGGTCTGCTTCTGGATGAGCAGGGGGTTTCAGCCTGGTCCTGAAAGCAGCTTCATCAGCATCGTTGGAGAGAAGAGCCCATCTATGGCTTCTCCTCTTTCCCCTTTCCAGGGGCTGCTGGACAGCTAGTCGGTTTCTTCCTTAGCAATAATGTCTCAGGTGTTTATGCAACTTGTTTTCACGAGAACCTCCCACCTGGCAGGTGGGTATATATAACGTTGATCTTTAAATCGGTTATTTTGGGGGAAGCGCTGCTAAGACAAAGGCGCTTGACTGGCGAGCATGTTTGCAAGACTGAAAAGCTACAGTCAGCAGGCCCAGCAAAGACTCCCCACGTAAGGGAAAGCAAGCAGACTCAGAAAATGCTCAGAGAACTTGAGTAATGTCAAGAACAGCTTTGCTGACCTGATGTCTGGAGATGTTCTACTTCCCCATCCGAATGGGGAAAGACAACTTAGGGTGGCTCTTGGCTGCATTTTTCTCTCATTTTTGCATGTTTGTGCTCAAACCGAGATTAAGCAGGAATTAAGAGCCCAAAGTCCCAATACAGTTTGCACTTGAGCTAAAAGCTATTCTTTTAATACATGTCTATCTTACAGGGTTATTGAAAATAACTATTCGGGGCACTTTAAATACATTGGAAAGGCACGTTATAAGTACACTGTATTGTCCTTAATGTGATTGTCATCACTTTTATTTCTTTTTCTGAAAAATATTCTGGATAACTGCTTCAGAACATTTTTGGGCTTTGTTCTCTACGAGACCTGTGCTAACTATGACAACAAGGTGAATACCAAGAATTAGAAGAAGCTTAGCAAGGCTTCAGACCTTTTTGACATCCTTGGCTGTAGAATTCTGTAAAATGGCTTGCCTTTTTGGCTGGAAGGCCATCAGTTTGTGACAGGTACTGGAAGCATATAGCCAAAGGCAAATCTTTTAAGATCTGACACCACGGATAAATTTGATGGCAAGACCCCCAGGCAGCATGAAAATCCATTTTTTTCCCATGGTTATGTTGTTGGTACTGATCAATACTTCCCATTTTGCCTAAAGAATGGTGGGAATTATTTAAAACATGGAAAACCATCATCTGAACGATATTTAAGTTTAAATTAAAGTTAAGGTATCACCTTTTGGTGTTTGATTCCTGGTGTATCTGGCTCCAGAAGATCGTCTGGCTCTGAGCAGGGCAGGATTGAATGGCTGGGTTTATATGTTGTGCTACGTTTTGAGTTGCTTTAACTGTGGATTTTATTAGCAGCAAGGCCTGGAGTCATGCAACATATTGAGGGGAGACCAAAATAACTTAATTAGGACTTAGTGCAGGCGTTCATATCCTACAGTCTGGAGACCTGCAGTGTTATTGCAATGGTCTCTCGCAGGCGGGGGCAAAATGATCATCTCTTCTAAAGGCCAAAACCTCAGAGATCATCAAACCTTGTGAGATGTTAGTATTCTTTAAAATATTAATATATTTAATTCCAGAGGCCCACAGATGCCACCCGAGGAGGACTTGTATGTGTGCCATGGTGCCCAAAGCACTGAATTCGTGCCTGTGGCTTCTGTGTGATCCTCAAGGTTTTTAAGCACGGTGTAGTGAACAGTGCTGGCTTCCGGTAATGCGAAAACCCGGTTGATATCTTCTTTCATTTTCTCCCTCCCACCTAAAAAAAAATAATAATAATTTTTGTCAAATTCTGCAAGTTAGAATTGAAGTGTGAGGAGAAATTATGCCAGAGAGAATCCTGCTCAAGGTTTGCCTCACTTGGTTTATTATTAGATTTATATCCTACCTTTAGCATCTCAAGGCAGCATGTGTAATGCTCCTATTTTCCCCACCACAACCACCCTGTGGGATGATTGTTAAGAAACAAGCTCTCTAAATTCCTCTGATAAGGTAATTGGAAGGTCCAGTTTTAAAATGCTCTCAACATTAAAGGGATATTCCATGAGGTTGATCCCAAGGGAAACTATTTTAATCTAGCTAGCCCTCCAGGATGTGGGAGAACAGCGTTGGAAAGAAGTGTGTGTAGAATGACGTTCTTGGCTAAGGTCACTGACATCGTTCTGGTTGTAATAATAGGATGCTGAGAAAGTGGGAGTTAGGGCCCTCGGACTCCCAGACACCAATTGCAGAGAGGTGATAAAGCAAGAATCAAACCCCTATTAGGGAACCAAAGGGAGCGTGTAAGGCAAGATCTCCTTCAAAGAGATCAACAAGCTTGTCTGCAACTAGTCACATACAACTGCCTGGAGTTCACTCTCCAGCTGTTGAGATTGGCATGGGGACTAAGCTAAGAGCTGTCTCCAAGATCAGGAGGAGTGGACTGTTGGTGCTTTGTAAGTTCACTCTTTGTTCACAGAATGTCCAGGTAGGACCATAACTAGTTCCTTATGCTAGATGAGGATAGGGCCCATCCTGCCCTATTGCAGCGAATGCAGAAGCTTGGTCTCCCGTTGCTTTTAGGTAGTGTTAAGAAATGGGTGATGATGGGAGGGCAAACACTTTTTTCCAAAAGAGATGGAATTGAGAAGACTCATTAGCTTTTTGTACCAATGCATTTGCTGAACTCTGCCTCTTGCACTGAGCTGTAAGCCTTATGTCATCTACCTAATCTCTGCTCGTGCCCCCCAACATTTTGGCCATACATCTGAGTTTGTCAGCTGCCACTGGCCATTGAGTGCAGATTCAAGTGTAAAAAGCCAAATCTGTTTCTTAAATACCAGCGTTGGGGTTTGGGTGGTGGTTCCTGATATAGGGGAAGTGGGAGCAGTGTGATGTCAGTTGCCAACAATAACTTCAGCCCTCTTCTTTAGTTTCTGCTAGACTTTCTGCCCTGACAGACGTATTAAAATATTAAAAATAATCTCTTTAAAAAATGGGGAGCTAACTTGCTGCAGAACACCATCCTCTGGCACAATTTCCAAGAATAACTCAGAGCTTTACAGAGCATTTAACGCCAACCGCTCTCTTCATTTTCTAAAAATACCTCTGGGGCAGCATGGCTGGCTGGGGAATTCTGGGAGTTGAAGTCCACTCATCTTAAAGTGGCCAGGTTCGGACAACACTCCCCTGGGGGGTCTTTACGGTGGTTGTTTCTGTGCACAGCGTTCCCCAATACACAACCTTTCTGCATGTGATTTCTGAGCCAAGATCTGCCCTGCAACATTTGGGAAGGGCAGTCTGGACTCTGATTTGCACACTTGTCCAGGAAATGTCAATTACATTGATGTGTTTAAAATGTGGAGCAAATGGATTTCCCTTCTATCCCTATCTGGCACTTGATTGCAAATTGGAAAACCGCCATCCTGATGTTCCCTGTTCTGTTCAGGAAGACTTAATCGGCTTAGCTTTTGCTAGGCGAGTTGTGAGCCAGGATTAATAGCTTTCTTCCTGCCATCCTGTTAGCTAAACAACTGGAGATTTCCCTGACTCTCTTCTGAACGAATAGCTCCAGATTTCTGCCATTTCAAATAGGGGACATCTGTTGCCCTGGGTGGTGGCATAAAAGCACTCTGGGCACGCAGCCATGTTTGCATGTGCTCACACATGTGCACATCAAGCTCAGAATGGGGAAGGCCTGTTCATAACATTTCAGTACAGAAAGAAACTCAGAGTGTCCCATATGTCCACGTGGTGTATGTGGTAAAAGCATTCCAGGAGGCCAGTGCTGCCAATAGCCCTCTTCGTCTCAGACAACTTAGGGTGTCCTTCCAATTGCCATGGTGAGAATAGCCACTGCTATTTAAATAGCTCTGGGAGAGAAGAAGCTGTGGATTTCTTGCCTCCTTCAGTATCAGCTTTATCCCGTGCTTCTGTTACATGGCTCTTTGGCGTGAGGGATGCCCAGCTAAAACCCAAAGCTCTGAAATCTGGCCAGTAATGTTCATGCCCATTTGGGGAATCTGGGTGTAAGGAAGAGGAGGATATTACAATCGTGCGGTTGGATCCTTTGCATTTTCGCGAGAGAGCGAGCTGATGCCCAGGCGGGCGCTTTTGGATACCACACCTTGGACCAGCACCAGCAAGCATGAGTGATCCGGAGACAGAGGGCTATCCTCAGAAGTATTTGGGGGGTGCCAGTTTTCTCCCCAACACTAGCAGTTGCACTGGAAAAACCCTACAGTTGCTGACACCTATTAAGAACTCTGTGTGAAGGGTCCAGAAAGAATGGCTGTTCATTTTTTAAAGATACGTATAACCCAGCAACATTCTGATTTGTGCCACGTTTATTTCTGTGTGCTGCGTCTTGGATATTCTCAAATCCATGCTCCGTTGCTGTAAAAACAAACAAAAGTAGGTGAGTTTCCTTAGAATCAGGCTTCATTTTGGAAACTCTGTGGGTGTGTCATTCTCTTGACAAGAGGATGTGAAAGCTTGCTGCTGCCTTTCTCTAAGACTTCCAGCTTCCCACCCTAGCCAGGGCCCTGTGAATTCATAATAGTTTCCTACCCAATCACTAAGCAGACCTCCTCCCACTGA